TGAAAATTCGAATGAACACATCCTACCAAGATGCACCTTAGAGCCCAAGGAGAAAGGGTATGGAGAGCGGTCCTAACCGGATGAACACATCCTACCAAGGCTGGAGCAACTCCAGAAGATCCTCTAGTGACCAAACCTGAAATAGAGTGGGATGAAACTGAAATGGCTGCAACCGATTATAACAATAAAGCTCTTGACACTATTTTATCAGTAATGCATGAAAGTCAGTTTACTCTTATTGCAGGTTATGACTCAGCAAAAGCAGCATGGAAATTCTAGAAACTACATATGAGGGCACAACTCCGTCAAACAATCAAAGTTGCAACTTGTTAATCTGACTTTGAGGAACTCCGAATGAAGGAAGATGAGACCATTGTGAGTTTCCATGCTCGTGTGCAAGAACTTGCAAATAGATCCTGTAACACCCCCGATTTTATCACCAATTTAAAGCTTAAACATAAGAGATAAAACTAATCATTCATTAAAGCCAAACGGAAGCGAAGAACTAAATACGGGAATGTCATACCAAACCTATCTAGATTACAGGTGCACAAGCTAAGTCACTTAGTCAAAATCGCAAACGAAGGTTAACAAAACATAAACTAGGCACACAGGCCACAAGTCTGGAACTACAAAAAGGAAACTACGCTATTTACTCGCCACTAGCGCACTCTCTTGGATCTACTCAAAACCTGTAAAACAAGGGATAACACCTGTCAGCGAAAGATGCTGGTAATCCACCAATACGCGTTGAGTATCATAATATAGATATAAAGAAAAGCATTTGAGACTTAGAGTACGGTATATAATCTTTTAAAACTAAGAGTATAGACACTCAATGTAGAATCCCTCTCAATCAAGACCAACATTAAACCTTTACTCAATAAGTCCACAAGAATGACAAAGGTGACATATTCATCAACAAGATACAACATAAGATAATCAAAGGGGAAATCACATCAAACATGCTCATAAGCAAAGAAAGATAAGGATTCATAATCAACAACAAGTATCAAGTACCAAGTTCTAACCTTATGCCCTGTTCCAACCTTATGGCTACCCCCGGCCTTATCTCAGTTCCAACTTGTACCTCCAATGCCACCCTAAACGCCAAGTCCAACCTTATTTCGCCTGGGGCCGTCGCCCCCCACCAATCATTATACCGCCGAACTCTCAGCACACGTAGTGCCATTAAATATCATAGTAACAATACCACCGATCTCGTGACCAAAGCTCAATAACAATACCACCAATCTCATAGTAACACATAATCATCATCAAGAGGATTAATGCTCATTAATAGCCCAATCAAGTATCAACAAACGTGTACAACATATGTACAAGATCAAGACAACGAATACAACCGATAGATATCAATGAAAGACATAGATAGACCATCAACAACGGTATAACAACAATAGACTTTAATCCAACGATTCACATGATTGGCAACGCAAGTTGCCGATCCTCATTAGGAACAAACAAGCAACACATACTAGTATCAACAACATTAGAACTAGCATGCACATCGAAGAGGGGAAACATAACGATTCAATCGAACCTCAACGACTTCACATAAATCCAACGAATCACAATGTTGGACCATAAGCACGATTCAAGACTTATAATCCTATCATGGATACTTAGGACACCGTTCTAGACGTATGAAACATCAAAGGAGACACACAAGTGCTCAAGAATTCAACAAACAGAGGCCAAAGAATCACGTACCAGAGGGCGGAACCACAGGTGGACATCCACCCGCCGACCCCCAACATATGTTACAACGGGCGGAACCACGGGTGGACAACCACCCGCGGCCCTGCCGGCCACTCCTTCTCCTTCCACCCACGGGTACACGTACCCAGGGGAAGATTTCCCTTCGGGGAAAAACATCAACAATACCATGCTCAAGTCCAAAATACCCAAAACCTCACATCCAACAAGGAAATGACTTGAACACATGAATAGCTTAAAAGATAGCCTTTAAGAACCCTAGATACAAGCTCTAACATGCATAAACACAAGATTATGCATCAAATCCCACAAGAACATCAAATAGAATGTCAAGAATCATCATAGCAAGGTTAAAGTAGGTTTTGTAAAGCATGAGTTACCTTTGTAGACCAAAAGATCACTCTCTTTTCTCCCTTAAGCTTCTCCTTGAAGCTCTCCCTCAACAATGTCTTCACAACACCACCCAACACATAAAGAAAACCACAACTTAGGTAAAGACTAGGTAAAGCTAACCAAAAACACCAACTAGGCTAAGATCTTACCCTTTCTAGTGCTTAGATGGTGGAATCTTGGAGAGATCTCTTGCAAGGATGAAGGTGGATTTTACTTGGCTTGAAGGCTAAGCTAAGTTTTTTAAAGAGAGTGAGAGTGTCTAAAGTTTCTTACCAAATGTAGGAAGTGAGGTGTGATCTTGTTAGGGTAAGGCTTGAATGCCAAGCAAGGGTGAAAAGGCTAAAATGCCCTTCTTTTCTCTAAAAAGCTTAGGAAGACCCCAAAAGACTAGGTACAACAAATAAAGCTAAAGGTCTCCCCTTTGACTAAACCAATAGACTAAGGAGTTAGTCAATTTAAGTCCTCTGACTATTAAGTTAAGAATTTAGAAGGAGAATTCATAAGGAAGACTTATAATTAATTACATAATTAATTCTATTTGAAAATTTGGATTTTCGGGGTGTCACAGAGCCATCGTGCTTGGTGAAACTTTTTCACAACCAAAGTTGATCAAAAAAATCCTACGATCCTTGTCACAACGTTTTAGAATGAAGGTAACTGCTATTTAAGAAAATGCAGGTTGGGGAAACAATTCTGTAGCCTAATTAATGGGAAACCTATAAACGTATGAAATGGAAATCCTCTCTGATCACACCAAAAAGGAGAAGACTCTTTCCTTTACCGATGAAGATCTTGATTCTATATCTGATCCAGATGAGTCTAGTGATGATCCAGTGGTTTTGTTAACTAAGCAATTTTTTAAGTTTTTTAAACAGGTTAAGCAAAAGAGCAATTCTCGCAATGGTAAGTTTCAAAATCAAAAGGGGTCGAGCTTAAACTCATCAAAGAGCACGTCAAAAACAGGAACATCAAGCTACAAACCCTCCTCATCACATTCATCTCAGTCAAAAGACGAACCAAATAGCAAATACATTCGTAGCTATGAGTGTGAAGGGTTCGGCCATGTCCAAGCGGAGTGTCCCACATATCTAAGAAGGAAGAAATCCATGACCGATTTGACCTGGAGTGACAATAAACCTGAGTCAGAAGCTCCTAGATTTGATATAGAGGAAATTTCAGGGAATTTCGTAGCCTTTACTGCTGTGACTGACGCTGCTCCAGACACTAAAGATGTTGCTGATTCATACAGTGGCGAATACACCTCAGCTGAAGATCTAGAGTTGCTAGCTCCTTTGTATGAATTAGAATATAAAAAATTATACTCCAAATGGGAGATCTTGCTTAAAGTTAATTGTTCTTTGTCTAGCCAGGTTAAGGTTCTAGAAAATGCTCAAAAATAATACAAGAATCAGGTTACTGATAGAGATGTACTTCTAAAGGCAGGACTTGAACGTGAGGAAATACTGAAGCATGAGCTAGAAGAACTCAAGAGAAGAATCAAGATGATTAACAACACTTCTACGCTTGATCAGATTCTTGACTCTGGACGTTTAAAATCCACCATCAAGTTTGGCCTAGGATTCACTAGCGATAAAAACAATGACAACACTGTCTTTGTCAAAGCATCTGGACCTGATCCAGATATTCTTGAATCGAGCACAGCTAGACAAGGTTATGGAAAAGTATGGCAAAATAAACTTACATATAAACGTGGGAAAATGACACTTTTCCTCCCTGAATTATATGTTTATAGCACATTTTCCCTCTGAATTATTCATGTAAGCATATTAGCCCCCTTAATTATTTTAAAAGTGGTGATTTTCCCCCCTGATATATTAAATTGACATTTCTACCCTTAAAGTAAACATTTTTTTTATTTTTCTTCTCCAACAAATTATTGCTTATACGTAGGGATGACAAAGGTTCGGTTTGAACTGAACCGAACACTATAGCAATCGAATTGAAAATATCCGTTTATGATTCAAATCCAGAACCCAATATTTAGATTTCAGTTTATTAAAATTATTAATTGAAAAAAACTGGATCCTAAACCGTGAACCGGTGGTTTCGGATCCGGTTCGCGGGTTTGAATTGTCTTTATTTAAAATTTTATTTTTTATTTTTAAAATCTAAATTCAACAATAAATGTATTATTTTTTCAGTTTGGAATATGAACCGACCGTTCCGGTTTGCGATTTAATAAACTCTAAATATCATGTGTCGATTCTAAATTGTAATTGGAATATTTCAGTTTGGTTGCTATAGTGTCTGTTCTGTTTGAACCAAATCGTGGTCATAATTTGTTGGAGAAGAAAAATAAATGAAATATTTATATTTATTTTAAGGATAAATATGTCCATTTAACATTTTAGGGGGAAAATAGCTACTTGAATAATTCAGGGAGAAAAATTGCTATAAGTATATAACTCGTGGGGAAAAAGTGTTATTTTTCCTATAAACCACAACAAAAAAACACCTATATGCCGACGGATTTAGCGACGGATTTATTCCGCTGCTAACTTAGCAACGAAATAGCGACAAATTAGTGACGGATTTTAATTTTTGTGTTAAATAAACATTTAACGACGGATTAGCGAGGAATTTGCGATGAATATTGCGACGGAATATTTTCGTCGCTAAATTTGTAGCTATTTTTAGCGGCAAATTTTAGCGCAAAAAATATAGCAACAGATTTGCAACGAATTTTTTGCAAATGGACTTTGAAAATTTTAATAATTTCAATTGATACACTTTAGCGACGGAATTTTGAATCCGTTGCTAAATTTAGCGACGGAAACAATAATCCGTAGCTATATAGGGACGGATTCAAAAATCTGTTGCTATATAGCAACGGATTCGTATTTCCGTCGTCAGCTTAGACTGCCTCATCATAGCCGGTCGGCGTTCTTCGTACAACATAAGTCGCCAGCGGGTCATCTCTATCGCAGCGGCGTTCTTCGTACAGCAGAGGTTGTTGCCGCCGGGTCGTCTCCATCGCAGCGACTTTCTTCGTACAACAGAGGGTGTCGCCGGCTCATCTCCTTCGCAGCACGCAGTCCGCAAGTCTCCAAGGTCAGAGGCCATTCTTCTTTAAGGTCGCCGGTCGTTCTTCTGGTAAGTCACCTTCGTACAGTTTATTACTCCGTATTTATTTATTTATAATATATTTTGGAATGGTCTAGATCTGTTGCGTGTTTCTTTGAATCTCAGTGTTCTATTTCCATGGTAAGGTTCACATTTCGATAAACTTTTACATGCCTTAGAAAACAAGCTTATTCAAGATTTTGAGTTTCCAGGTACTTTCTATTTGGAATAAATTGTTTGCTTGCAGGCTCTGCTACATTCTTCTTTTCCTACATGGGTTTTGATATTATTGCCACACTTTTAAGGAGGTATTGCTTTCAAGTCAGAAATTATTCATTTATAATCCTCCATATAATTCCTGCTTCTGAGTTCTGATTAAAATGTGAGTTTTTTCCACTTTTGGTCCTATGACTTTAGTGTCTCCGTCAACTTAGGTTCATAACTTATATTCCTGACATAAGTAGTGCTTGACTTTGATTTTTTTTCCAATTTTAGTCCTTCCGGCCATCTGAGCGGCCAGTTCCGATTGAATTAATAAATTGTCCTGTATATTTAAATTTTAGAAGGGTAAATAAGTCTTTCACTATCCAAAAAAAAATTAAAATTAATGAATTGTCTTAACCCATCCGCTGCTTCTTCTTCAACAACAAACTCTTCATAGAAACGCAGGCCCCTCCACTGTAAGCAACAAAACCACTACAAACCCTAACTCAAATCAAGCTAAAATTCCTTCTTAATCAGCAACGCCAGAACGAAATCTATGAAGAAACACCAAGTATAATATTGGCTTCACTGGCATGGCTTCACAAATAGTTGCATCTTCTTCGAACATGACGGCATACGGTATGAACACAGAGTCAATGATAAAATTTTGAATTTTTAGTTATGTGGGTGGGGGGGGGGGGGGGGGGGACGTTGTATGAATAGGGTAGTAGTTTAGGAGAGATAAGGGTAGCAGTTTATATATTGCTTGTCTATGATTTGTATGAGCTAATTTGTCTATTTTATTCAATTTATTGTTGTGTATTTTTGTGGGGACCAAAATATGAAATACTTGATCTCTTTTTTATGTATTTGGTATTTAGTGAGACATTACTTTGTTTGAAGTGTTTGTCAGTTCTTTTGCATTTCTGTGGGGACCATTATTAGTGCCAATAGAAATGAATTGTTCCAAACAATGCTTTCCTTAGACAGTAAAAAGTATTAACATTGAATAATGAAAAATTCTTAGCAGATGAGAACATATAGTCAAAATATTTTTTGCTTTGCAATTGTTACTTTCCTCAAAGCAGAAGTGTTACTTTCCTCTTTTATTTTTTGCTTAGCAATTGTTATCTCTCAAATATTTTCTGCTTTGTTGACCTGCTTGCATGCAGAACACCATTGTGATGCTACTATAAGTAAATGCAATTTTCATTCCAAGTGTTGAACGTATATTTGTCTTTGAAGGTGAAAATGCAGGACCTAATAGCAGTGAGAGTGATGAGAGTGATTGGAACTATGAAGAGGAGTTTGATAACAATGAAACTAGGGATGACATGGATTTTGAGACTCATGTAGACCCATTACTTGACATTGGTGGGGTTAATGATACTTTATATAATTCATTTGAACCAAACCTTTCCGATGATGCCTCTGTTGTGGAGTCAGACAGTGATGGTGAGATATCAGGCAGTTTGTGGACTAGTTTTAGGCCAAGTAGAGATATGAATAACCCACATTTCACTCTAGGTATGACATTTGCCTCTAAGCAAGAATTCAAGGATGCATTGCAAAACTATGCAATTAAAAATGGTAAAGATCTTAAAGTTGTGAAGAATGATAAAGAGAGATTCATTGTAGAATGCAAAACTGATGGATGTCCTTTTAGAATAAGTCTTAGAAAAGTGATTAACTCTTTGTCATGGAGGATTTTAAAGATGCAGGAAAATCATGAAGGTTGTTCATGAGCCTTTGATAATGGGATGTTGAACTCATCTAAGGTAGCTAAGAGATGGTGTAATGAGATTAAATTTCATCAAGACTGGAAGATGCTCAAGTTTAAAGAGAAAGTGCACAATGATGACAAGTTTAATATGAGCGAAAGGCAAACTTATAGAGTGCTAGCCAAAGCAAAACAAATGATTCAAGGAAATGAAGAAGAGAACTTTAATAAGATTTGGAATTATGTGTTAGAAATTGAAAGAACAAATCCAATGTCCAAATATTCAGTTAAGATGAGTGAATTACAAGAATTGAATGGGGATGAAAGATTTCTAAGGTTCTACATGTGTTGGGATGCATGCAAGAAGGGCTTCAAGTATTGTAGGCCAATTATTGGAGTTGATGGCACTCACTTGAAGAATTTAACAGGAGGTGTGTTGTTAACTGCAATTGGAATAGATTTCAATGATAGCATTTTCCCTTTATGTTATGCCCTAGTTGAGAAGGAAACAAAACAATCATGGATTTGGTTTTTTAAATTGTTGAAAAGGGATTTGGAGATTTCAGATGATTTTGAGCATCAATTTACTCTAATTTCTGACAAACAGAAGGGGATAATTGCAGCACATGAAGATGTTATACCAAGAATGGAACACAGATTTTGTGTTAGACATCTTTATGGGAATATGAAAGTAGCAGGCTTCCAAGGTAAGTCTATTAAAGATGCATTGTGGAGATGTGCTAGAGCATATACTGTTTCTGAGTTTACTGCAGCTTTTAGAGCTTTGAAGAAGTTAGATGTTAATGCATTTGAGTGGTTAGTTGATAAACATCCTAGAGAATGGTCGCGATCACACTTCTCATTCACTCACATAGTGATATGTTGGTAAATAATATTTGTGAATGTTTTAATAGTGCCATATCTGAAGCAAGACAACAACCAATTATTGAATGCCTAGAATCGATGAGGCAAATGTTAATGAAAAAAATGTATAACTGTAGGGAGACTGGCAAGGCATGGATTACTAGTATTTGTCCTAGGATTTTAGATAAGTTAGCTGTGATTGAGAATCAAGCTGCAAGTTGCATTGCTACCCAATGTGATTACCATCTCTTTGAAGTTAAAGGAATGTATGGGGATCAACAAGAGGTTAACTTGGAGAGGAAAAGTTGTTCTTGCAGAAAGTGGGACTTAACAGGTAATTGCATAGTATATTCTTTTTTTGTTTTTACTTTTTTATTATAGCTAACACTATTGCATAGTATATTCTTTTTTTGTTTTTACTTTTTTATTATAGCTAACACTAACAACTTAAATTGTATTGTAGGAATCCCATGTAAGCATGCAGTGTGTGCTATTTGGCTAATCAAAGGATCAGTTCATGAATTTGTTGACAAGTGTTATTCTAAGAATTCTTATTTGCAAATATATGGACAATCCATACATCCTATGGCAGGGCCTGAGCAATGGCCAATATCTGATAGAAAACCACCTCTTCCCCCTCTATACACTTCCAGGCCAGGTAGACCAAGGAAGTCAAGGAAAAAATCAGCTGATGAGTTAACCTGTTCAAAAATCAGCAAAGATGGAGTAAAAGTGGCTAGGAAACACATCCAATTGCATTGCACCATATGTAGGAAGGCAGGTCATAACTGCAGAAGTTGTCCAGAAAAAGTTAATAGGAAATCTAAACAGGTAAAAGTATAGTATATTATCATATTCAATCATTTTATATATTTTGGTCAATGATTACAAATGTTATTCCTATTATTTCAGATGAAACCAAGGAAAAGGACATTGAAAGCAAGTGAACCAATTCAAATATTTATTGAAGAGCAACAAGGCACTCCAACAACTGAACAACAACAAGGCTTTCCCACAACTGAACAGCAAGAAAGCATTCCCACCACTGAACAACAAGGCATTCCAATAACTGAATAGCATGCAAGCATACCGGTAAATGAAGAACAAATCACTCAAGATGATATTGACTTCATGAATATGTTTGATTTCTCAACACCATTTGAAGAAAACCCTACTCCTTTTCAAGAACAACCTGTCATAGTTGAAGAACATCTTGGCTCAACTTCTACCATCCAACAAAATGAACATGGAGTTAGGATGTGTTATGGACTACCACCACCTCTAAAGAAGAGGTTAAAGAAGCCTTCCTAGTGGATATTCACTAACCATGTGTTTTGATGTTAGCAATAACAATGCCAATTTGTAATGTTTTTTTGCTCAATGAATATTATGTTTTGATGTTAGCAATAACAATGCCAATTTGTAATGTTTTTTTGCTCAATGAATATTGTATTTGGTTGAATCATGGTATTTTGGAGGTTAATTAATAGATGTTTGTAGTTTTGCTACTGCAATTTTTCTGCTTACAGTTTACTGAGTTTATTGCATAATTATGATTGGCTTTTTAGCTTAAGTTCAGGATTATTTAAATTACTATGTCATATTGTGAGACCAACTTTGTGATTGTCTATGTTTTTATCCTAATTTTGCAGTTCAGGAGGCATATTGGATGTTCATATTGCACTCCCTAAATTATAACAGAGGCATATCTGCTGAACTAGTATGACTATTTTAACAAGAGAGTTTCATAAGAAAAAAACCAACATGCAATTGGTTGGCTAATCAAATAAGAATTTTTAATACATATCAAATAAAATATACTTATATTGCAGCTATGCAGCAAGTCATTTCATAAGAAAAAAACCAACATGGGAGAAGAAAAAAACCAACACTTTCAATTGCAATATGATTTCTCTTTGCAGCTCATAAACTGAAATATGATTGCTCTATAGTTTAATATAAAATTCGAAGTAAAATATTGCACTTTTTTTTTCTTTTGCATCAATATCACAAGAGAACATAATTAAAATTTATTGAATCTTGACCCTTGTCATGTGTACAGTTCTCTGGTTTCCATCTCTCTCTCTCACCTTTTATCAAACATGTGCTGAGCATTCGACACCTGTGACTGCAACTTCCTGACTTTCTCTTAAAATTGGCACATAAAGCAATTTGCTCTGCTGTTTTCAGGTTCCCGAGTCTGCGATATTCTGTATAAAATTTTGAAGATGTTGTACCCTTGTAAATGGAAGCCATTTCATGCAAAAACCTTCCATTGTACTACTGCGACCCCATCAAGTATAGGTTGTTCCCTGCATTTTCATAATGAAAGATTTTGACTTGATGGTCCTGTTTAAAGGTGTAGAGAAAACATCTGAACAATGTAACTCCCTTTCCTATTTAAGTTTCCTCATCTTTTAAATTTTCCCTAGTTTTAATCAAGGAGAGAGTGACAGAGAGAGGGAGGGGGGCTACGGCCTGCGTGTGAGTGTTGTTGTTGATGATGACGAAGAATGGCTAAGCAGCAGAGTGGGTACAAAGCAATTCATTAATTTTAATTTTTTTTTTATTTTTAATTAATGGTGAAAGACTTATTTACCCTTCTAAAATCTAAATACACAAGATAATTCATTAATTTCGATCGGAATTCACTGCTCAGATGACCAGAAGGACTAAAATTGAAAAAAAAATCAAAGTCAAGCACTACTTATGTCAGGAATAAAAGTTGTGAACCTAAGTTGACGGAGACACTAAAGTCATAGGACCAAAAGTGGAAAAAACTCTTAAAATGTAGATGCTGTATATATTAAATAATGCATACTCAATTAGCTACCATCTCTTAACAACATACATTTGCTATCAGACAATGTCCTAAAACTGATTATCTGCATTGGAGTATTTTACCATATTTTCTAGCCTAATTGGTTTGACCTCCATTAAAAAGACAAATTGTCATTTGCATTATGGAGTATTTGTTTGTAATTTCAAAAAAAGATGAAAACCAGTTAGCATTGTGTATCATCACTGATATTAAAACTTTTATAATTATAGATTCTGGTAACTAGTTTATACCCCTCTATAGGAACTTTTAGTAATATATTTGAACTTTATTATTTTTTTCTTTTTTTTGGATGAATTCGGCAATTAGGAATGTTCGTAGATTTAGCCTATCTTTTAAAGTATGGCTTGCAGTTGATGTTTTGCGCTGGACATTGCTGTACAATCTTATTGAGATGTACCATGTTAAATCAGTTGATATTAGAATACTCTTTTAGATACTTATAATAACTCACCTTCCATATAATATTTGATGTGTCTTGCATCTGTTTTAAATGCATTTTTCCTGGCCTTTAAGTTTATTCTGGCTTCTATAAGATTGTTCTTGAAATTAGTAGTCCCGAGATGGGATGTATGCTTGTAGCTTCATATCATAATTTATGCTGAATTTAGCCATATGCTTTGATGTTGGATTCCAGTGTGCATGCTATTTGCTTTATTTATCATTTTCAAATGCTATTCTTTAAGTAACATACTTTTTACTAAATGGAATCAAGTAACATACTTTTTACTAAATGGAATCAAGTATTAATATAGTATTATATGAGAGTATGTACTGCTAAGAATTAAATTAGTCATTTGGGGTTGTTGCTAGTTTCATTTGTTTAAGAATAATAACTTTGATTCTTGGATGCAGATACTAGATACAAATCCACAGCTCTTTTTTCACCTCCAACAGCAAAGGTTGACAGAACTGATATGGCATCACAAAGTGGAAGATGCTTTAGAGTTTGCTCATGAAGAACTTGCTCCAAGGTGAGAGGAAATGTAATTATATTTCTTCCAATTCTGGCATGATTATCATCTTATGCACAATTATCATTTAGGAGGCAGATGCTAGTTCATTGGTTTAATAGACTGGACTAATGGATAGAATCGTTCAAAATATATATATATATATATATATATATATATATATATATATATATATATATATATATATATTATTGTCATGAATGACTACTGTACCAATTTTAATTATTCATGCAGACTGGACAATGATATTGCTGGCGTTTGAAGATGTTGAGAACTGCCCTCTTAGAGAGCTTGTAGATATGTCACAGCGTCTCAAGACAACAAGTGAGGTCAATGCTTCAAAATTCTCATTAGTCAAAGCCATGAGAAAGGTCCATCTTTCATCCATCAAAGAGCATCACAAAAAGGACTATGCTATAGACTGTGTATTAGTATATTTGGTACCATTTTTAATGATGTAAAACTTTACAATTTTTTACTTTTATTTTTGTTATTGACATTAAATTTTTAATATAATATATTTTACAATTATATTATTGAAGTATTATGTTATAGGGTTAATACAAGTATATGATATTAATTAATGGGTAGAAATAGTTTTCTAAATTAAAATAAAATAAAATTGGTGATTGACAAAAATCGTAGTAAATTCGTAGTTAAATACCTTCTATTCTTCTAACAACAAAGAATAAAAACGAAATAGCAACTGATGTTTTTTATGCTAAATTTTGTGACGAATATTTTTGTTTTTAAACCGTAGCGAAATTGCACCTACCAAAATAAATTAGCGACGGAAATTCCGTCCCTAAATACAGCGATGGAATATCCGTCGCTAGTTCCCTTACAAATTTTGTCATTCAAATTGTCGCGGAGAGGAAATTAGCTACGGATATTTTTAAGTTAGCGATGGAAAAATCCGTCGCTAAATCTAGCGATGGATAAAAATTGCGTCGCAAAATTTTAGCGACGCCACTTTTAACTACGGACCGTTTCCGTCGTTAATCCGTCGCTAATTACTTTAGCGACGGATTTTTCCCTTTCTAGCGACGGAATTTTCCGTCGCTATTTTCGCATTTTTTTGTAGTGAACGTTATAACCTTATTTGTCATTATTGCAGGGTTCGTGGTTACACCAGACCTGGATGTTTTTATTTTTATAAGGATCAAAGGGCTGAGAAATTTGCTCACAGACGTATTACCCCAAAGCAAATATGGGTCAAGAAAATTGACTATGTTTGCCATGTTTCCTTTCATTCCAAAGGCACAGGTAAAGAAGAAAACTGGTATTTTGATAGTGGATGTTCCCGCCACATGACATGCAACGCAAATTATCTGAATGATGTCAAAGAAAGCAAATGAGAAATCACATTCGGTGATGGTGTGAAAGGCAAAATCACTAGCGTTGGTACTTTAAATGTTGCGGGTCTATATGAGTATTACAGGTTCATGTGACACAAGATTTCATATAAAAAAAAACAAAAAGGAATTACTATGACGTTGAGGAACTTGCCCCTGATACAGATCCCTCTAACACTTTGTCAGCCCCTAATACAGATGATCACATTTGTCAATCTATTTGACAAAAAGGGGGAGTAATAATTTGAGTGGGAGCTCTTTTGGGATTTCTCTTGGTAATTTCTTTTATGGATATGTTCGTCAATGTTGGATTAATTATGTTGGATTGATTATGATGGATTGATTATCTTTTGTTCGATGTTTCTCTATATATATTTCTCTATATCAGGTAGCTATATTGGTTATTGGATTTTCTTTATGGAACTATTGGGTAGTGTAAAATAAAATAACATAATTCTCCCAGAGGACACGAATAACATAATAACATATGGATTTCGTGTGTACACCAATAACTCTACCAAAAATATATTATTCACGTTATTCTATGAAATCTAGGATTTTATTTTCAATTAATATGAGTTTAGGGTTTTATTCGTGTGTTTATGAATTTCGTGTGTAAACCAATAAGTCTACACACCAATAATGAATTAATGATTTAATATTATTCTTTGCAAATTTTGCGTATTTTCACGTTATTTACACCAATAAGTTTACGCACACACACATCAAGAATACTTTTCCGATTTTTTAAATGGTAATTTCGCATAGAGATGGATTATTTTTACTATTTAAACAGATCATTATGCTAAACGTATAGTTGTAAGCTTCCAACGAATTTCTGTGTCTGTATTATGTAGTCTCCTATTTACACCAAATAGGCATGACTTCAACTCAAATCGATACTGTTGGATGTGAATTTCATCCTAGACACAGAAGGAATGCAATCAAGTTTGTGTGTACTATCATCTTCTAGAGACAAGAGGTGCTGAAACAATCAACTCTATAGAGTGTGTAGTCCATGATGTAGATGTATTATTTTTGTACTATCGTTTGAATATTTTGTAATTCAAAAAGTTTTGTTTATGCATATGGTCTTTTACTACATTTTTTTTACACTTCAATTTTAGGGAACTTTTCTACATATTCATATTCCTAAATTTTTTGTTCAAAAGTAGATGAAGAAATTTAAAGAAGACCGAGTTTACCAAGTTTTATTATTATTATTTTTTTTTTGGTTTGTTACTAATTTGTGTAGAAACAAAACAACTACTCACATATATATGTTGGAGTTTTATTCTAATTCAATTGTGGGAGTATTCGAGGATGCAGTTTTCCCTACACATATTTATGACAAAGAAGATTATGATTTCTTTAAAAGGTTATTTATTTGTCACTTACATTGTTTTCATTTTTCTTTAACTTTATTCATTTATTTTACTTTTTCTGCCTTTCACGAGTTTCTGGATGGACAGGTGCTTGAAAGTCCTATTGAAAATTTGGAGCCTAACAAGCAATGTATGCAAAGAATGAGAGATCTGTTAAAAGCTGTGAATGTTGATAATCTAGGTTGAAATAGTTAATAAGATATAATCCAGTTCAAATTCTATGCATTTATTTCTATTCGCATCAGACATTTTCTATATTATTCATGGTTGATATGTAACAGGCATGGTTGCAAAACTCGGCCGCCTAGGCGCTAGGCGGCACCCATCCTTGCTGTTTTGCCCTATACTCGGCCAAAACTCGGCCGGCTGCCTAGGAGACCAACTCGTCCAAAATCGGCCAACACGGCCGAGTCGGTCAACTCGGTCGATTTCGTCCAATTTTGACCAATTTCGTCCGATTTTGACTAATTTTGTTCGATTTTGACTGATTCCGTCCGATTTCGTCTGATTTCGTCCGATTCTGTCTTTCATTAATTATTGATTTTAATATTATTATGATGTTATGACTTATAAGTTATCATTATTTCATTTATTTGGGGCTAAAGTGCTCGTCGGACCTCTCACGTCCCGGGTAGGGAACAAACCCTCACCGAAACGGGCACACCCTTGCCTTGTTGACTAAGCGTTCCTACGGGTATGATAAACGTTCGCTTTGTGACTTAGTCATTTCGTCGTATCTCGGGTTTGATTGCATAAAGGGAAATGGTACAACGGGTCGAAACTAGGAACGCGTGCTTTTCGTAGCGTTCCCCATAGACGGCGCCAATGATGGTTTTATTGGAACCAGGTCTACCATAAACCAGGTATAGAGGTACAGAACAGGCGGGGGGGGGGGGGGTTAAGAAAATAGTAGTATTATTGATCAAGTCCACCATAAACCAGGTATAGAGGTACATAACAAGGGGTAAGAAAATAGTAGTATTATTGATCGGGCGCTAGGCCCAAAAGAGTGCATACAAAGCCCGAGATACTAGCCCAATATGGCGGCCAAAATATAAATAAATAATACAAATTGGTATATGGGTTGAAGGTTAGGAACCTATACCACTAGACCAGGGGGATTAAGTGATCCAATGAATGATCTTTAAGTGGTGGCAAGAGTGCCTTATATAGTGTAGATGGTCTTCCAGATGGTTGACAAATGTACGACATCGACTTGCCTTAAATTTGGCCATACACGTGTCCCCCACTACTTGGATGTCAACGATCTCCACACGGGTAAATAAAACATCCTACCTTTTTATACATAAGATGCATGGTAGCTTGGTAGTTGTGAACTTGTGTTGTTATGTTAAAGGTTTTGGGTTTGATTCTCCATGGTAGCTCTTCCTTCATTTATTTTGCTCGATGCTTCATTCTTTTCTTGGCAATAAAAATGGACCCCCTTGGGCCAAGAGCTATCCAGTAAAATGCCCCCCCCCCCCCCCCCCCCAACGTCCCTGTCCCCAAATAAATATATAATATTGTTTTGTAACTTTGATATTTAATTACAAGATAGTGTAAAAAGAAGACAATGGACAATGTAGTAAATATAATCAATTAATGATTTGAATGTAAAGAATCTTTGCATTTGGAGAAATAAAGACAATATATATAACTAATAAAATTATTATTTTTCTTATTTAATTTATTGATAATGAATAATTTTTTATTTTTTTGAGTAAAGGCATTGTAGACACCTAATTTTAAATTAAAGAAATGCATATGTATTATTTTTGGTTGTATCTACTAATTTATTTAATTTAATAAGAGTAATAGAATACAACAATGAAGTGATGTATTGAGAGTTTGTTAATGGCAATTGTAGGCTTGAACCTTAGACCTCTCACATAAAGGACCAACCGAATACCAGTGAACTACAAACCACTTGGTAGGTCACACAAGTTTAACAATAGCATTTGAAACAGTATATCATGAGTTGGTTTGTAGAGTGATATCATAATTCCAATGTCGTGATCAAACATTATTGCTTAAACTCGAGTTCCCTACATTTAAATATACCATTTACATATATGCTTTGTTACCCTAAAAATCCCCCCTCCCCCCACCACACTAACAACAATTTTGTTCGATAAAAAAAATAATAGTACAATATTTGTATCAAAATAATTTGAACCATTCATTTCATCAAATAATTGGACGAACATTTTTTAGTTCTCATTATAGGGCTAACTTTATTGGCTCTTATTAGTGTGTTGTGTGTGTGTGTGTGTGTGTGTGTGTAGGAAAGGGATCAGGTGCGAGATTCGCTTCCCATGCGGTTGGACGCACATTAAGTATTAAACTGACGCACTTTAAGTACACAACACACGCACATTGAGCACACAAACAAAACACCTTAAGAACACAAACCCACGCACCTTAAGCACAAAACTCACGCACTTTAAGCACAAACCTCACGCACTTTAAGCACAAAACCCATGCACCTTAAGCACAAAACCCCCCACGCACCTTAAGTTTCAACAACTACTCACATTAAGCACAAACTCACGCACCTTAAGCACAAGACTCACGCACCTTAAGCACAAGACTCACGCACCTTAAACACAAAACACATATACCTTAAGTTTTAACAACTACTCACATTAAGTACATACCCATGCACCTTAAGCATAAAACTCATGCACTTACTGACCGCACAACCGCACGGAAAACATTCACCCGCACTAGAACTTAATTATATATATATATATATATATATATATATATATATATATATATATATATATATATATATATATATATATATATATATATATATATATATATATATAGAATAAAGTTCAAATGCGGCGGGGTCTTCCCGTGCGGCGGAATTCCAGAATACACCAACGGTGTTAACAATATGCACCAACAGTGTAATAAAAACACACCACAATGAAATGCAATAAAACATCACAAAATACATAACAGACTAAAAAAAAATATACCATATAACTCACCACCCCCAATGGTGTATTTCCGAACAGTGTATGGTGTTTTTACTCACACCTAATGGTGTGTGTTTGGTGATGCGGGGCTCTGTTTACTTTGTTTTGTGTGGTGTATTTTCCTAACGTTGATGGTGCATATTTGTTGAACTGTTGGTGTTGCCGCACAGTAAGAAATCGCCGCACCGTAAGACACTGCCGCACCTGAACTCGCCTATATATATATATATATATATATATATCTTCCATACAAATGACTATGGATAACAATTCATTTCTATAACTGAGTTGTTAGAGAACAAGCACATTTACCTAATGTATGAAAATACTAAACAATGATAAATAAAATCTTCAAAATGATAGGACCGCATCCGTACATCTAGACATTAGCTATTAATTTGAACAATTATTTGCACAAATTCAAGCAATGATAACATCAAAATATATAAACGATTCAAATCATATCTTTAAGTGCACTATATAATATTTGATGTTCTAATTTAAATAATTATTTATCGATTCATATATTCTTAATATATTACAACATATTCATTCCGTGCATCGCACGGGTGCAAATACTAGTCAAGAACTAAAAATAAAATTAACTCTTTTTCATATAATCTCGACTTTTTTTTTTCCTCCTCCGTATCTTAATTGTAATTAAAAAAAAAAAAAAAATCCAACGACCACGTTTGACTTTCCGAGAACAAACGTCCGCAACTCGCAACTTTCTCTCCCTTTTTCCTTTTTCTTCAATTTATTGATCTGGGTTCAATTCCACGTCTTCTTTTCAGGATTCATTAACAAAAAACCATAAAGGTCAGGAATTTCTAATTCCCTTTCGTATTTTCTTTTTCCCAATTTTGGAGTTGTATTCTTAAAATGTCCGTTCAATGTGTTGATTGTTGTTTTCTGTCTTTTTTGATTAGATGCTTCATAATTTTGATAAAGATTCAATCTTTTGGTTACTATTAAGGTTTTTAGTTGTTGTCGCACAACTTTGTTGAACAGAAGTCAAATTAATTCTTCTCTAATTTGTGTATTTCTGAGCTTATTTTGTTGTAATTTTGTTAGGTGTGGACATGGAGTAATCAAATGAATTTTGATGAATGATTTCTATCATTACTAAAATCATTTGAATTGCATAAATTTGGTTTTTAACTGCTAATATCTGGTCATGTACAAAGCACAAACATTGATAAGTATATACATTCAGCTCAAGCAGACAGCTCTGCTGGATTGCTTCATCCAAGAATAGACTTCAGCTTGCAATTTTTCATTAGTGTGTCATTTTAGTTTGATATACCATGATTTGATTATCTTGTCTACAATATGGACATACCTTCAAATATTTTATGGAGTGAAACAAAAAAATTCTGTAGCAAGTATTGCTGGCCGAGTCGAGGAGATATTTTATTAATTGATGAAACTAAGATCAGATTATATTCTAGTTATGCACTTTATTTCACTTCTTGCCTGTTGAACTGTATTTGAAAATCACAAAGTTTGAATTGCTAGCTTAGCCCTTAGCTTCTCCCCAATATGATATGTTTGTAGCACTGTTTTAAACTTCCTCTTCTATAAGGGGTATGAATTGATAATTTTCCATATCCTTGAAAGGATAAATAGAATGCTCTCCCTTTGAATGGCATAGACTTTTGGTAGATAATTGATCTATTCTATGTTTCGCTTGTTTAACTATGCAGGTTTTTTTATTTTTTATTTTTTGGGGTTCTGCTTGAAGGTCAAGCAGACAAAAGTTGTCTTCAACTTTCTGTGTTAAGAGAAACAAATGGTATGTATCTCCAAAACTCTCAATCTCTTTTGCATTATGCATCAAAGTACCTTATGCAATGTCTGAAGTCTTTGCTACTGATCTGTATTTAGTAGTTTGCCCCTTCTCCCTGCTGAGTTTAGTAGTTTGGTACTCTATACAATACGATTACTCAAATGTTTACATGGTTTTCCACATTTTCTAGTTTAACCTTTCTCCTTTTTTTTTTTTTTTTTTTTTTTTTTTTTTTTTTTTTTTTTTTTCTATTTTGTTACCATGACTTCCAGTATTCGGTAGCCCCATTGGCCTCTAACTAATTCATAGTTGGCTGCTGTCAGTCCCTTTTTTTTTTGGGGGGGGGGGGGGGGGGGGGTGAGGGAGCTCTCCTGATGCCTATAACTCATTTACTCCATTCACAAGGCTTGGACCAAGACCTTTCTTAGAGAGAATCAAGCTCCTTCCACTAGGACCATATATCGTTGGTCTTCTCCTTGCATGCGCCTGCACTTCTATTGAAATGAAATAGTGACATGACAAAGTACTATGTTAATGTTCAGATCTGTGTACTTGTAAAATTGTGGTTAATCCCATTATCATTTAGTGTGTTACTGCATCTTGCCTCTCTCAAGTTACTAACAGCGCTATTCTTTTGACTTTGTGGCCCGAGGCTTCATGAGTCAGGCTTATTATCTATACAGTATGGCAGTATGTGGAGGGCTACTCTTTCCATTTTTATTCGTAAAACAGAATATTTATCATTGTTAGTTTTCATTTATTAGTTCTACTATTACAGGGTTGTATATTTCAATCCTCGCAGGATCAATCAATCATTATATGCATTGTAGCCACTTCTTTTGTGGCTCCAACCCTTTCACTTGTTATTGAAAAAACTGCTGCCATGGATATAAATTAACAACACATTATTGTAGTAAAATGTGATAATCTTCCTTTGTGATCTTTGCTGATTACTAAAATGTGAATGCATGGTTCACTGGTGCCTTGGTAGTTATTTAACCCATCAAATTGTTTACGTTGTTATTGGTGTTCCCATTAATACATTCTTTTTAATTGAATTATATGTTAATGGTAGGTATAGCTCCATATCCTTCCTTGAAGGGGGAAAATGACAGCTTCTCATGGATTTTGCAAGGGGGGTGATAATCATGATATGCAAGCTCTAACTCATGATGACAGATCAATTTGATTGTCACATATTCTACTTTTTCTTCTTAAAATAAGATTGCATAAAAAAGTCTGAATATTCTAGTCATACCTCTATGAATTTGCATAATGATGTCGGGGTTCATACAAGAAGCTCTAACTTGGCAAACAGGTAATCTTTATGGGTGAGATTTTGTTTACGTGAGTGCCATGTCTAGGTTTTCTTAATGTCTTTTGGCTGCAGGCAAAACTTAGATATGAGTTCTATTCCAAATAATTTGAATGGACATAATGATTTCAACAACTCCGAGGACCAGGAGACCATGGTACTTGTTTTACATTTGGAGCTATATATATGTTGTGTAAATGAAGGGATTGTCGTACTAATATTAACTTTGTTTAGGAACTAATTTCACGTGCCAATGAACAACAGAAAGAAATTCTTTTTCTCCGTGAACAAATTGCTCTTGCCAGTGTTAGGGTATGAACTTCTCCTTAAAGCCTCTGCTCCAGTGCTCTTGGGCACAATGACATTATGATTTTTTATCTGACTTTTCTTGCCTGGATCTCATTACATTTGCTCCATGTGGTCAGGAATCTCAGCTTTTAAACGATAAATATACACTTGAGAAGAAATTTTCTGAACTACGAATGGTTTGTCCTTTTCCTGATGGATTCTACTGGTGCTTACTTTTGGGTCTATAAACCTATCTGTATTAAAATTTTGTGGTTTTCTGATATCTAATCTGAAGGTAGTGTTTTATTGATAGGCCTTAGATGAGAAACAAAGTGAGGCTATAGCTTCTGCGTCAAATGAACTGGCCCGCAGAAAAGGTGATCTTGAAGAAAATCTGAGATTGGTAAATGAGCTAAAGGTAAAGTATAGACCATTACTTCTAGAGGTTACTTGCTTAAGTATTTGACTACAGTCTTCTATAACTTCTGATCTGATGAACTGTAGTGTTCTAAGTGTAGGATATCAATTAGTCTATAGCTTCTCTTGCACAGCTTGCTTTCTCATGCAACTATCCAAGTTACTGAAATGATTGCTGCACATTCTTGAAAGCAAAGGGCCTCTATAAAAGGATTAGGTTATTCACTTAAGAAATACAAATGGAGGCATTTCAAATCTCAAATAGTTTTAAGTTGGTCATTCTAGAAATGGGATTGCTAAGTCAGATCTACAGGAATACAAGAAAGGATTATACTAAGAAATGAATACATTCAAAATAAGTTACAAGTGGGACTAATTAGAGGTAACTGAGCCACTGAGGGAGAATTGAATAACAGAATAAATTAAGATGGTTTGAGCATGTTTAGCATAGGCCAGTGGAAGCCATGGTTAGGATTACCATTTTAGTAGTAGAGTCTAGGCGTGAGTGCGTGTGAATTGTTTATATACTCAATGTAAAATTGTCAAGTTATTGTTAATCCTTTATTTTTGGTATGCTTGCATAACTTAGGAGTCTTCTTTACCAGTTTCAATTTCTGAATTTTAATTGTGTTGATGATTTCTTTATGGAAATCTTAATTTGTTAAACTGTTTGTCATTTTTCTCTCTTCCTCATCCTCTCTGCCCTTGCTCTTGGATTCCATTTCAAATAGCTTATGTTTCAGGAAGTAGAGGATGAAAGATATATTTTCATGTCATCTATGCTTGGATTACTGGCAGAATATGGCATTTTTCCTCGTGTTGCTAATGCCTCTACTCTGACCCTCAACGTAAAGGTATTAACTGAACAGTACATGGAAAAAGTGTGGTTTTATTCTCTTGCTTAGCTTGATATATGTACACTATCTAATATGCATAGCCATTCATGAATGAATAATCTCTGTATTTTGGTTAGTCATTGGAATCAAGTGGTGGTTTGTTCTTCAGATCTCTTCACACACTAACATATGGTGCTTTAGAAGTTGCTGGGGAAAATATGCCAAAGTCTTCTGCATCTATCCAATGATACCATTTATGCTGTTTAAAGCACAAGAAAAAAGAATGTATGAAAAGATGGAAAAAGATTTTAAATTGTTATCTTGAAAGTTGAAACAAAAGAATGTAATTTATTATTGGATTCTAAAACTTAGTATAGTTAGGGATGCATTGTGCTCAATCTTTTCTCTCCTTTCCTTAATGTTAGCCTTATGGCATTGAGGTAGAGCATAAGACTGTTCTCCCTATCCATGTATTCCAATTCCTTACCCTAACTCATGTTTGAAACTTTGCAGCATTTACATAATCAACTGGAGATGAAGATCAGAACTACTCATGTGAGATTTCTGTTCCATAATCTTGTCAATTCTATTAGTTATGAACTTTGGTTTTAGGGAAAAGAGGAAAGCCAACCTTTAGTTTTGGAACCTGCTTTTGTATCTTTTGCAACTATGAGTTATTTCTCTGGATACATGCCAATCTATGATCAGCATAATGAATGATTCGTTTTGATTAACAAAATGTCAAGTACACCTTTCATTCTATATGGTTGAACCAGAGAATAAATCAGTTTATGACTGAAGACTCATAGGAGTACCCCATCTAATTGATCTGCTTATTATTTTTGAGGATTATCCATGTAAGGTACAAATTCAATTTATTTCCTATAGCTGATCCAGGAGAGCAAATGCAAAGTCTTTACTCTCTCTCTCTCACACTGTCACACACACACACACAATCATCATCATCTGTTTAGCTGATAGGTATTCATTTGCTTATCCATTGATTGAAAATATATTAGCATGTTTTGTGTTTTACAGTCATCTAATTTATGCCATTCAATCTCAGAAGCTTTTGGAATATTTTTTTATTTTACTCTTACAAGGCATCATCATCATCTGTTTAGCTGATAGGTATTCATTTGCTTATACATTGATTGAAAATATATTAGCATGTTTTGTGTTTTACAGTCATCTAGTTTATGCCATTCAATCTCAGAAGCTTTTGAAATATTTTTTATTTTACTCTTACAAGCTAGTTTATTTTCTATGAGTTCAACTTCTAGATTTAAATGCTGGTTTACATGAACTGAGTTATCTTTTTACAGGCCAAGATTGCAACTTTGAACTCTATGGCAGCAAATGGATCACTCAATGTGGATTCTCTTGGTTCTACCCCCAGGAATAATCAATTTCCAGGCAGCTCTATGGTATTGTTGATGAGGGTGGTCATTCTATACTGCTTGTTTTAAACTAAAAGATTATTTTTTGACTTGTGTTCTTTCGGATGCAGGATATACATGGATATCCTCATTACAGTAAACAGTATATTGATGGACAACATTCAGATGTGCAAGGAAATATAAATGAACAAATGAGAGGCTTATTGCTGAATCCCAACTCGTCTCCGTTACCGGATAATGGAACCCAGCTGAATCTCTCATCTAATGTGGATAGGTAAGGATGAAATATCATATGCTTTCAAACATTTCTATAAATCTGCAAGATTTTCAATCAAAATGTTTTGAGTTTTATTTCAATCAAAGAAAACTGTAGTATTGCTGTTTAACTGTGGCCTCTTGTCTCTGTGCCCTTTTTGTAACACTGATAATACAAGTGCCTTAAGATTTTGGAAAAAGTGTCAAATAGGCCATTGAATTTATTGAGTTTATGCAATTAAGCCACTGAATTACAAACATATGCAATTACAACATCAAACAACCAAAAAGTGTGCAATTTTCCTTTTTCACTGGTAAACTTATTTGGCATTCCGCATGGCATTTGAAATGGCTTAACTGGAAAATTATCACAAAAGATATTTAAAGAAAACAAAAAATGCAAAAAGAATTGCTGGCCAGAGGCAGCAGCCATTCCTCCTCATCCTCTTCATCGCACAAAGGAGAAGAGGCAGCTGCTGGCTGCCTCCCCCCTTCATCTTCATCGCACAAAGGGGAAGGTTGCCTTTTCCCCTTTGTGTGACGAAGTGGCTGCCTCCCCATTTCTCTTTGTTGCATGAAGGGGAAGGTTGCCTCTTCCCCTTTGTGCAGTGAATGGCTGCCTCCTCTTTCATGCAAAGGAGGGGCTTCCACCTCTCTAGATCTAGACGAGGAGGGAACCATGGCTGCTGCCTCATTTTTGTTTTCAAAATTTTCAGCTTGAAGGACAATCAAAATTCACATAAGTGGGCAATTATGTAATTTTTACTTGGAATCGGATGGTAACCTTCAAAAAATGTAAATTTCACAATTTTGCATCAATTTAAAATTTTTTAATGGTTTATGATTGATCAAGAGTTCAAGTTGAAAATTACTTAAAAATAAATAAAAGGGGTGAAATAGTAAACTAATGTAGGATGTTTAAAAGAATTTAAATAGATAAAATATCGGTACCATATTTATAGGAGTTTTATTAATGGTAAGAATGCAAACAATAACATCTCTAATCACTAATCGTAATTACACGGTGTGTGCATGTTAACCTTTTGTGATTGCACACTCAGGTGTTGCAATTCAGGAATGCTATGTTTGTAGTCTTGACTACACACACGTGTATTAATTGGTGTATGCAGTTGTTAGCATGGTGTATGATGTTGGTAATAAGCCAATAATTTCAGTAGGTAGCTCCAACCATTATTGTCAACGGCTTCAGTAAAAGGTGGAACAAATGTAATGCAGTGTGTGTAACAACAGATTGAAACGCACAGTGTTTTGTACATACTTGCACACGTTGTATGTGTACATGCACACGGCGTTGTATACACTTAACAATCTCATATTTGAGTCGGAGTTGTTCTAAATTTGAGACGCACATGGGGTCTCACATGCGTGTACACGCTGTATCATCCTACGCACACTCAAGTCCAGTCTCATGCACACGGCGTACGTTTAAACCATCGCACACAGTAGTCCACACCATTACACATAGATGTTATTGTTTGCATGCCTACCATTAATAAAACTCCTATAAATATGGTATTGATATTTTATCTATTTAAATTCTTTTAAACATCCTACATTAGTTTACTATTTCACCCCTTTTATTCATTTAAGTAAATTTTTAACTTGGACTCTTGATTAATCATAGCCATTAAATTTTTTTAAATTGATGCCCATGATTTGATCTCACAATCTCACCTAAAAAGGTGATCTCATATGATCCTAAATCTATATATATGGAAAAATAAGGAAAAATAATGAAAGAAAAGGGTGGGGTCAATTTTTTGTTTGTGCAATTAGGTTATTTAACTAAATAAGGGAAGGTATACTTGTTGAACTAAATAATGTTATGAAATTGAACCTCACAAACTTACGGTTTAAATAACTGCTGTTGAAGATGGTAAACTAAAGCTATACTTGTTTCCTGTCATGAGTTCATGTATCATTAATACTTGAATGATATCACTCATTAGAGCACGAACTTGTTTCCTGGTTTAGTTTGTACTTTGCAACGAACAATTACATATCTACATTTTACTGATAGATAACTATTGCAGGGATATTCCGAACCACTCTACCAACTTGTTTAATGGAAATGTGTTAGGTGGGAGTTATGGGGAGATGCCCAATGAACCACCCTATCCATTTCCTGGGGCCAATGAGAAATCTGATTCTATGAGTACAGAAGGTGATTCAATTTGATATTTATAAAAGTTATAATAAATAAACTGTTAATTTGAACTTAGTATTGTGTGTGTGTGTGTGTTTTTTTTTGGTAGCAGGAAGGGGCCCTGGTATAGAAGGCTTTCAAATCATTGGAGATGCAAAGCCAGGTGGTAGACTCCTAGGCTGTGGATATCCTGTTCAAGGAACTTCTCTTTGTATGTTCCAGGTAAACAAGTTTTAGGTCATCTCAGTAGGGAATGAGAAGGTTGGCTTTGTGATCAAAAGTTCAGCCATTGGCTGTTTGGTTTTGTGATCAAAAGTTCATCCGTTGATAGTTATCTCTTGGGTTCAAACCCATAAAAGATGACCTTTCCAGTAAAACGATACAAGTACAAGATCATTAACTGGTAGACAGAAACAAGGAAAAAAAAGATCTAACTGACCATGGATTTGCCTGTTACCCAAGGACTGAAATCTTTGAATTAAAATTATGGATATTAAATGCAAGTGCAAATCCACTGAACAATATTGTTGTTTATGGAGCTGGATCTGACCTTAGGTCTAGATAAGCAAAATATAACTTATATAGCATATATTTGATGTTAATGGGTTTCCTTTTCCCAATGTCATCTGGCTGCATTTCAGTGGGTCCGGCATAATCCCGACGGTACTAGGCATTACATTGAAGGTAAGTTCATTGTCATAGGTTTCACATAGTTATGCAACAAACTGTGCAAATTTTAGATTTTGCCTCCATTGATTATGCTTACTTTGATATTGATCAGGGGCCACAAATCCTGAATATGTTGTGACAGCTGATGATGTTGATAAACTCATAGCTGTTGAGTGCATCCCCATGGATGACCAAGGACGTCAGGTAACACCTGCACTATATTTTTTAAAATATTTTTTCTCCTTATTTCTCTGCTATAATTCGTTTATCACCAATTTTATAATGCAAACTTGAACACTAAAATCTGCAATTTTCAGAAATTTTTAGCTTTGCACATTTAGTACTAACATTTTGCACATTTACTATTAACATTTTGCACATTTAGTATTACAAGATTGCACTTGCAAAAATGCGAAAGTACATTGCACTTAGGGTTTCGATTTTAGAGTTTATGACTGCGTTTTTGTTTTATTTGGTTTAGTGATTCACTTTTTACTGCTAGCATCTAGCATTTACGGTTTAGATTTTAAATTTAGCTTTTTCATTGATTTTACAAAATTTACTAGGTTTGCGTATTTAGTTGTTAAAGATTGCATATTTAAGTGCTCAAGTTTGAATAGTGAAGTTGATGATAATTACGAAAATGCTACCACGTTTTTTTTTTTATTTTATTTTTATTTTTTTTAAATTTGATCAAAACCATCAAATTTTTACATATGTAAGGCTGAGATTTGTTCTTAGTTTTCTCATGGGATCTAAAGCCTATATATATATATATATATATATATATATATATATATATATATATATATGGGGGGGGGGGGGGGGATTCCTATGAGGTCACCTATTTAGGTGAGATTGTGAGATCAAATCATGACCATCAATCTAATAAATTTTAATGGTTATGATTGTTTAAGAATCCCAGTTTTAATTGACTTAAAATCAGGGAAAGGGGGTGAAATAGTAAAATAATGTTGAATCTTTAAATGGATTTAATTAGATTAAATATCGTGTCCTTATTTATAGGAGATTTTTTAATGGAATGAATGTAAATAATATCATCTGTAATCATAGCTAGTTACCATTAACCAATAACACACTAACAAATGCATACACCCTGCAGTCAATACTACAACCCTAGCAAACCTACCCTAACATAACAGGCGTGTGCAAACACAAGAAGCACCGCATGCACCAACCGTCAACCCTCACCCCACCCAACGCGAAAAACCATAGAAGAAGCACCTGAATAAGCGTTTTTCTTGTTGTCGTCGCAAAAGAGTGTGTGAATGGGAAAGGGAAAAAAATGGTGTGAGTTCTCCTGGATGGCGGCAACGTGTGTGAAAGGGAAAGGGGAAAAGGGAAAAAAAAAGATGAAGTGTGTTCTTGTTGTATGCGTCGGTGTGTGCAAAGAGGAAACGAGATCAGATCAATGTCTCAATAAGTACCTATTTGGTTTTCATATGATAATAACTATGTTATTTATTAATGCGAAGGTGATCTATTTTTTAAATAATTTTAATATTTGTATTTTATAATATCGATCTATATATAGATGTCTTTTTCTTTTCAAATTTTTGGAATTAGGCATGCCACAAAATTAGGTATGCTAGGTAAATAAGGAATAAACACAAGAATATATATATATATATATATATATATATATATATATATATATATATATAGAGTTAGGTTCAAATTAGGTTGGTGCGCCCAGGTGCGGTTGTGCGGTTAAATCTGAGCCATTGATCTTGCTTAAATCAACGTCCAGGATTACCATTTTTTTTTTATTTTTTATTTTTATTTTATTTTTTTTTTTAAAAGCGGTGGCAATTTGGTAATTTTTGCATATAGGTCAAATTTAAGGTGTGTGGCTTTCCTTCTTAAGGTGCTTGGTTTGTGTGCTTAAAGTGCGTGAGTTTTGTGCTTAAAGTGCATGAGTTTTGTGCTTAAGGTGCATGGGTTGTGTGCTTAATATAAGTAGTTGTTGAAACTTAAGGTGCGTGGTATTCCTTTTAAGGTGCGTGGTTTTTGTGCTTAAGGTGTGTGAGTTTTGTGCTTAAGGTGCATGAGTTTTGTGCTTAAGGTGCATGAGTTTTGTGCTTAATGTGAGTAGTTGTTGAAACTTAAGGTGCGTGGTTTTCCTTCTTAAGGTGCGTGATTTGTATGCTTAAGGTCAATTGTGTGAAACTTAAGGTGAGTCATTTTAAAACCTTAGGTGCGTGGTTTGTGTTCTTAAGGTGCTTTGTTGTGTGCTTAAGGTTCGTGGTTTGTGTACTTAAGGTGAGTGGTTTGTGTTCTTAAGGTGCTTTGTTTGTGTGCTTAAGGTGCGTGGTTTGTGTTCTTAAGGTGCTTTGTTTGTGTGCTTAAGGTGCGTGGTTTGTGTTCTTAAGGTGCTTTGTTTGTGTACTTAAGGTGCGTGGTTTGTGTACTTAAGGTGCGTCAACCGCACGTCCCCCGCAAGCCTATACCCGCACATGAACCCTTCCATATATATATATATATATATATATATATATATATATATATATATATATTGGGGTCAAAAAGACCAGCACTCCCTTAAATACCTAGACTACCAATTCTGATGTTCCAGATTAAGATTTACTAGGAGCCCGTTTGGAATCTACTTACTAACCCCCATTCTTGATTCCATACTTTCTAGCCCAGATTTGGAATGTAAACTTTGGAGATATCATTAATGTATAGCAACTTAGCTTGATTCCATACTTTGAAGCATGTCCTGAGTGCTCTGAAGAGTGGCACTAATTCTGGAGAGGAAGATTGCCATAGAGTACACAGCTGGTCATCCAGTCTTCTCCATATTGCCTTTTCATTCTTCGGTACATCATTGACTCCTTTTCGTAAATGGCCAAGAACTACTTGGCCCATAAACCACATCTCAATGGCACCAGAACGTAACAAGATTGATAATTTTTTTATTCACATAAATTTTCAAAGGTAAGATCCAGGTTTCCTGATAGATTAAGCACAAAAATAGTGGTTGGAGCAAATATGCACTGCTCTGGTAGTTGTAGCAATAGTATTTATTGGAGTTACTATCCCGAATCTCGTCAAAGGACATAATCACTAGAAAAATATTCTGACTTCACCAAAATAGGTCGCAGAGAGCCAAAAAGATGATCGGAAAAGGATCACTGGAGACAGGCTGAGATGCTGGTGTATGAGGTCAGAGTTGTGGTGGGGTGGTGGTGCATGGGAGTAAAATTGATGAATGATGACAAGACCAAGTAGGCTTCCTTCACCGGACATTCCTGAGATGATTGGAAACTCCAATTTGAGTGAAACAATGGTCAAAAGAAAGTAATTTGAATTTTAGTGCACTGAGTACTGTTCATGCGAGGAAATTTAAGAAAATCAGGCCATAGATCATGACTCTAATACCATGTTGAAAAAGAGGGAAAAAAGAAGAAAAGATCTTTTACTTTCTATAGCCAAAATCTAATGAGAACAAGGGCTTTATATACACAGAGGAATGACCTTTATGCTACTTAGTGTGCACAAGCTATCCAACTCTTAGAGTTCTTAAACATCTCATATAGTCGCTCGACATATAATTCTCCCTTGAGTTAATTCACTTTTGGTCCTATGACTAGTGTTGTGTTGTTAATTTCAGTCCACAAGTTTCAAAACTGTCAATTTAGTATCGTAACTATTTAATTTTTCTCAATTTCAGTCCATCCGGCCAAATTGCCAGCGAAAAGTGGCCGGAAAATTTTAATGGATAAAATCTTGAGGGCAATTTATTTAGTCATTTGCTCCTCTTTTCTTCTTCTCCGTTTCTTCTCTTCATGATCTTCGCTGGAAAATTTTTTCTCAGAGAATCCATAGCCCATAATACCTAGAAAGTGCTCAACGGCGGCAGCCATGATCATCGTTAAGAATTCTTGCATATCAAGCAAGATGACAAGTTTTTCTCCAGGCTATTATCCAAGGAGAAAGCATCGTTGTCTTCCATAAAAAGGTGAGTCGTCTTTCAGATTCTTCTACTATGGCGATTCCTCGAAAGGCTCGATCCCGAACCGGTGAGATTCGCAGCCGGGAACCCCGAAACACCCCCTCCCCGCCGCGTCTCTCCTGCCGCTAACTCCTCCGCCGTCGTACTAGTCCTCCGCCGAGCTGAAGTTCGGCAGCCGCCGCTCCTCCTCGAGACTGCCATCTTTCTTCTCCAAGCATTCTTCCAAGAAAACCAGTTTCAATAATGTTTCTTCCTCCATTTCTTCGGCGTCGTTCTCGTTGCCGTCTTCCGCCCCCACGTCGGCGCTCACCGACCGGAGACACCGCTTGCAGTCGGATTTCCAGTTGAGGTTTGAGGACTTAACATGAAGCTTCTCCAACTTCAACCCTGTGCTTTGGCGGCCTTGGTAATGGCGACGCAACGGCTGCAAGTGAGAGTGGCTCCAAGAGCTTCCATGTTTGCCAGTCATCTGGAATGAATCCATCTTGTTCTGATCTGCTAACTGAAATATAATCAAATATTTTTGTTTTCTGGCGGAGATCATGAAGAGAAGAAACGGAGAAGAAGAAAAGAAGAGCAAATGACTAAATTGCCCTCAAGATTTTATCCATTAAAATTTTCCGGCCACTTTTCGCCGGCAATTTGGCCGGATGGACTAAAATTGAGAAAAATTGAATGGTTACGGTACTAAATTGACAGTTTCGAAACTTGTGGACTGAAATTAACAACACCCCAATAGTCATAGGACCAAAAGTGAAATTAATTCATTCTCCAGTAGTATAGTATCTATCAACCGACCGTATGTCTATATAAATAGTTCTTAATCTATAGTCATTCTAAATTGGTCAGTGTTGAATTGAACCGTTGGTAGTTCTTATTTATGTGGCCATTTTCTCAATGGAAGCTTCTTGTGTTTCAAATTGATGTTTTTGTCTTTAGTTTTTTTCTGTAGTTCATAGGGTGCAATCTTTTAACTGTTTTTCGTGCTCAACTTGTTATCTTCGTGATATGATACTTGATATTTGCTATTTTCAGGGAGAGCTTGTGAGACTTTTTGCTAATGGTCAACACAAAATAACTTGCGGTATGTCAAGTTTATCATTCAATTAAATAAAAAAATTGTATCCACTAATTCTTTTTGAGTGACTCTTATCCTCTTCTTATGTTCTACAAATGATCCTTGATTGCTGATGAATACTTTGTATGTGCAGATGCAGATATGCAATTGGAGATTGATACCCATATTTCTAATGGTCAAGCAATGTTTACTGTTTTAATGCTGGTAGGATTCTTTTTATTTAAATGTTTATTTGCCAATTCAAGTGCCTTCTTTTTACATTTCTGTTATTGATTGTCTCTGTCCTATCACTAGGTTTTTATGTTAATTTGAAGGGCCCTGGTGCTATTCAAAGCTGTCAAAGGAGAACTCCATATGTTTTTCATATATCTCAGACTAAGAAATATATACATATTTATACAAGAAATTATATACTAACTTAGGTAAGGATCGGAACCTAATCCCTAAAAATATACACATTAATCCCTAATATCATGCTAAATATATTCCTATCACTTATAATGTCTAACCCTCCCCCTCATGTTGGAGCATAGATATTGATCATGCCCAACTTGTTACATAAGTAATCTACTCGAGGTCCATTCATGGCTTTTGTAAAAAGATCTCCTAATTGTTCTCTTTCTTCACAAACTCTGTAGAGATTAAGCCTTGTTGTATTTTTTTACGAATGAAATGACAATCAGCTTCAATGTGCTTGATTCGTTCATGGAAGATAGGATTGGCTCCAATATGGAGAGTCGCCTGATTGTCACACCATAGCTTTGTAGGAATAGGAGCCTTGAGTCCTATTTCATTCAGAATGTGATATATCCACAAGATTTCACATGTTGCTTATGCCATTGCTCTATACTCTGACTCTGCACTCGACCAGATTCAACATTCTACTTCTTGCTTTTCCACGAGATCAAGTTCCCACCAAAGAAGACACAAAATCCGGTTGTAGATCTCCGATTCTCCTTAGACCTTGCATAGTCTGCATCTGCAAAGCACTCAATCTTCATATGTCCATGGTTTTGATATACAATTCCACACCCTAGAGCCCCTTTCAAGTAGTTCAAGATTTGTTCAACAGCTCTCCAATGGTCAACAGTTGGAGATGCCATAAACTGACTTACAATACTGACTGAGTAAGCGATATCAGGACGGGTTACAGTCAGGTAGTTTATCTTACCAACCAATCTTCTATATCTTTCTGGATCATCAAATGGCTCCCCCTATGATGTTAACTATGAATTAGGGATCATTGGAGTATTGCACGGCTTAGCTCCCAGTTTTCCTGTTTCTGTCCATAGATCAAGTACATATTTTCTTTGGGAGAGAAATATACCTTTCTTACTTCGTATTACCTCGACACCTAGAAAATACTTTAAGGTACCAAGATCTTTAGTTTGAAATTGACTATGAAGAAAGGTCTTAAGAGATACAATACCAGCAGTGTCACTTCCAGTGATGACAATATCATCCACATAGACCACCAATACCATGTCAAAATGTCAAATGGAGAATTCCATATGTTTTTCATACATCTCAGACTAAGGAATATACATATTTATACAAAAAACTATATACTAACTAAGGTAAGGATCGGGACCTAATCCCTAAGAATATACACATTAATCCCTAATATCATGCTAAATCTATTCCTACCATTTATAATGTCTAACAAAAACAAAGATGTGCACTAGATGCTTGGTACCTAATAGCTTGATAAGAAACTTCACTCATAATATTCCAATGAACTTGAGTTACATTCAATATGAGAATAGTTTTTATTCATATGAAGTAAACTTTTAATTTGGTCTTTACTTTGTAGAAGGATGTAATTAATTCAATTTTGGTGTTTGTAAAGAGATTGGTTTATACAATGGGTTAATCTGAATAGTGCCTTCAGGTCTCTGTTCTGAAATTTGTATTTACATTGCCTTTATAATGATGTAATATTGGGCCTTTATAGTATTATAGAAAATTCTAGTAACTAATGTCCCGTTCTCAAGGCCTTTGCCAGTAAACTAATGGCACAACTATTGTTGAATAGAGGAACTCTAAGCATAGTGGGCCAGATTCGTCTACACCTTTATGTGTGTGTGTGTGTGTGTGTGTGTGTGTGTGTGTATATATATATATATATATATATATATATATATATATATATATATATATATATATATATATATATATATATATATAAAAGGAAACCTAGACTATTCATTAGAAAAAATCATTATAGAGAGAAGATTGAAGCTTTGGAACTTTTGTCGTGTGCCAAAACTTGTTACTTGAGTTTTCGAGTCACTGACAGTGGAGGAGGGTGATTGATGGGGAGTATTTGGAGTTGCCGGTTTCCATTAAAAGGAGAAGTTGTTACTGAATCTCTCGCTTGTAGCTAAGCTTTTGCATTTTTAAGTCTTTAATTGTTACCAATCATTGGTGTTTGTATCAATTGGATATCAAAAATGTTTTTCTTCATGGTGATTTGACAGTGTATGTAGCAACCACCTTGGTTTGTTACTCAAGGGGGAGTGTGGAAAGTCTTTATGTTACGGAATCTTTATATGGCTTGAAATAACCCTGTGCTTGGTTTAGACAGTAGTGGTGCAGAATTTGGCTTGAAAAAGAAATGCCCATGATCATGCCAAACACTGCACTTGTTTCTTTGCACACAATAATAAAGAATACTTTTCTTTGTTAAAACTGGTAATACCAAAGAATCAATCAATATGTGAGTAAAACTATTGAGAAAAGCATCCTCATGGCAACAAAATGGAAGTAGAGTTAGTGATGACTGAAAGTTTTCATATTATTTGGTCTCTAGCTTTGTTCTTTGTTGCTAATCACTTAAGAAAAGTAAATGGCCTAGCATCGCGATGATGAATTCTTTTATTGATTTTTAACAGGTTGATTCTTCTGAGAATTGGGAACCAGCAACTCTCTTTTTGAGACAATCAAGCTTCCAGGTCAAGGTTCATAGATCGCAAGCTGTTGTACTTGCAGAGAAGTTTTCAAAAGATTTGTCAGTAAGTGCTTTTCGTTTGCTGAAAACTAGCCCGTCTTATAGACAGGCCTCTTAAAATGGTTAGGCTCTCCCTAAAGATCAGTAATCTCATAAAAATTGTGATGCCATCTTAGAAAAAGGGTCTGCACTACTGCACTACTGCACTACTGCACTAGATTGTTTAATCATCTTGATCTTCAAATTAAATAAAGAACAAAACTCTTGCTGAAATGTACAAATATCAAACAGGAAAACTTTTTTATGTCATTCTCCAATGTTATTGCAGGTGAAAATCCCCAGTGGACTCTCATCTCAGTTTGTTATATCATGTCCTGATGGGTCTTCACACCCATTTAGCACAACAAACAATGATGTTAGGTAATATCCTTTTGCACTGCTTCACCCATGGATTTTTAAATATGGTGAATCTGAACATCTATTATTACCCGAACAGAAGGGAATCAAAACTTGATGGTGCTTATAATTTACTGAAGCAGAAAATTTCTTTCTTCGTTCATTATAACCTAAACTTATGCTCTGTATTTTGCTGTAGAATGCGTGACGCACTTGTATTGACAATGAGAATCTTCCAAAGCAAGGTACTTTTTCTTGCTTGTTTATTGAACTCAACATTGCATCATTTTCCCACTCTTATTTTGGGATGCTATAAGCAGAGTCTTATGTGTTATCAGTGGCCTTGAAAGACTTGTTCAGTTTTTGTTTCGTTTTATGTTTATTTGATGAGTTATTTTAAGTAGTTGTACCTATTTTCATCCAGGCATCGGACGAAAAGAGGAAGGCAAAAGCGTAATCCTGTTGTTCTCCATATAGTTTACATTATTTACAGTCATTTTTCATTCTTTTTAGGAATCAGGACAATAGTTATACGCAGTTTTGGTCAATAAGTTAGTTTCTACTTGTTTGTTGTAGTTATTGATGTACCCAATTTTGGACCTGTACCATATAATTGTATTTGTCCCTAATTTTCTCATTTTTTTTAAAAAATTTATTGTAGCCTTAAAGAGCACTCAAATTAATATGTAATATCATAGTCGGTTGTGAGAAATCATCACTAATGGAAGAAATATTGCTCCTTTAGTTTGAATGATATGCAAATGAGAACACTTTGTTCAACACTTGTGAGAGATAGATGTTTCTTATGTTGGACAGTTTATTCTACTTGTGGTTCTTTGAATTGATTATTGCAACATTTTTTGCATTTGGTTTTCGACTATGATTTGTTTCACTGACAGACTTTATCTTTAATTTTAAAAAGTGGTCTGCTTTTATTTTGAATTAAAATGTCTTCAAATGCAGCAGGATGAAGTCCCAAAAAAAAAATAAATAAATAAAAAAATACAGCTATAGTTGAGATACCAGAAGTAGAATAAACTGTGTTGGACTTGGATGTATACATTCATTGACAGTCAGTTGCAATTTAACAGACTGCACCAGTATTATTAGACCTTCACTTGATCCACAACACTCTATAGATTATTCTATTCATTCTTCTCAAATTTTGTTACTTTGTCTCATTTTATCTGTTTTACTTACTATTCATGGGTCAAATAACTCTTTCTTCTTTATTTATCTTTTTCAGTATTTTTTTACTTATTTTTAAATTTGATTGTTTGTGTTTAATAGTACTTTTAGTGTAGTTTCTAAATATATAAATTTTGCATACTAATAATAAACTTAATATTATGAAAAATTTGATTAAAAATGATGAGGTTTGAAATCTGAATCAATTATCACAATTGAACCGTATAAGACAATATAGGAAACAATAGAGAGTCTTACAACTATACAACTACTAAGACTCCTAACACCCCCTTCTCAAGCACAAGGTTGAGGAGCTATATTGAGCTTGCCACGAAGAAAAAAAAAAACGTGAACCCGACAAAGGCTTTGTAAAAATATCTGCCAGCTGATCATTTGTCGAGATAAAATGAACCTACAGCTCCTTCCTAGCCACCTTATCACGGACAAAGTGGTAGTCAATCTCAACGTGCTTCGTCCAGGCATGAAATACCGGATTAGCACACAGGTAGATAGCACCCAAGTTGTCACAGCCTAGGCGGGGTACCAGGCGCTAACCCGAGCTCAGTGAGCAATGAAGCCAGCCAGGTGACCTCAGCAGACACATCCGCTAACGCCTTGTACTCAGCCTCGGTCGAAGAACGAGCCACGGTGCGCTGCTTCCGTACACCCACGAAACCAAGTTCTGACCCAAGAAAATCGTGTAGCTACTAGTGGTTTTCCGATCAACCGGATCACCATCTCAATCTGAGTCAGAGAAAGCATGAATGTCAACAGAAACAGACTTATAATTCGTAGGCCAAGATGCAAAGCCCCTTTAACATAGCGAAGCACACGCTTGAGCATACTAGCTCCAGTGCCCAGTGGTCGGTGCATGCATGCGCTAACATAACCTATTCACTGCAAACGACAAATCAGGCCTAGTCACTATGAGATACTGCAAAGCCTCAGCTAGACTCTGGTACTGCGTGGGATCGGCATACGGAACCGATTCACCATCATCCACACGAGTCAAAGGAACAGGCGTGAACAACCAAAGCCGAAACGAGCAAGTCACGGGACCGATGCCTCAACGACATTGCATGGGTCTGAACCAAAGGCCGCTTCACACGACGTCCTCTAGCCGACTTGGTCTGAACCATGGCAACCGAGTCAGAGATCGTACGAGAGCTGGACGGCTCCGAAGCCGCGGTAGGCTTAACAACAGGAGGCAATGCAACCAGTGGTTTAGCAGGCGGCACAACAACCGTAGGCGATGCATCTAGCCGAGAAACGCAGCCAACGCCCCATGGCACAGCCGACTCCGAACAAGACCCCTGTGAAGACAAAGCAGAAGCAAAAGGGTAAACGGTTTCATCAAACCGCACATGGCGACAGATAAAACTTTGTTGGTAAAACTTGATCACTAGATCTCACTAAAAATCCAATATCTTGATTAGTAAAATCTGATCCCTACATTAGTAAAATTTGATCTCTCAATCATGCTAAAAATTCGATCCCTAGATCAGTAAAATTCAAATGACCCCTTATAGTCCAAAATATTGCACTTATAGTTTTACTCTTTTTCCCTTAACTATGTTTTTTCCCACTGGAGTTTTCTTAGTCTAAAGTTTTTAACAAGACAACCAACGTAAATCGTGCTCCTATGCTCAACTTAGATTCGAGGAGCTCATCACGGTCTATGTAATCGGATTTTTCAGCCCGAACCCTTCCTCATTAGCTCGATGTCAGAATACGATCTGGGGGAACTACTTGATAGAGATTATTCCGATCCCCGATATACCTCCCTATACATTCTGTACATCTGTTCTGTATTTGGATTAGGGTCGTGTCGTTTAAAAAATATTTTAGGGTGAATAGGGTTAGACCTCCACGTGGTCATTCCACACACAAAAGATGTTCCTTTTTCTTCTTCTTAACAACACTCAATAACAAAGGCTCTTAAAGCCAATTTCTCTCATCTTCTAACATATATGAAAGTTTGGAAGTTATGATGAGTGGCTTTCCTTAAGCTTACCAGACTAATCGCCTGAAAGTTGGATAAGAAAGCCAAAAGTAGTTTATCCTATCAGCTTCCCATTTCCAATATTCTTCATCACTCTTTCTGCACCAATCATTATATTCTGCTGCTGCCGCCATATTCTTTATTGTGAATCTTCCATCTTTTTGTTTTGGAGGTTTTGACTTTTGACTACCACTTTAAACTAAATATACCTCATGTAATTATCATAAGATTCAATTTACTTCTCTTATCATAAAATGTTAACATTTCTATAATTTCTCAACATAGAAATTGTTTTAAATTGTTAAAAGGGATTCAACTTTTTTAACCTAAATTTTAATATTTATTATTATTATTATTATTATTATTAATTATTATTATTATTATTATTATTATTATTATTATTATTATTATTATTATTATTATTATTATTATTATTATTATTATTATTATTATTATTATTATTATTATTATTATAACCCTAACAGCTAACATAGTTTGAGGGTATTGTATTATAGGAAACTAAATTCACAGTACTTTGAACAGTTTCAGAATAATTTGATGAACAGTTAAGGGAAACATACATTTTATTCAAATTAAAAGATAGGATAAAATTTTATTAAAACTAATAGAAAAAAGTGTTAAATTGACTTCTTAAGGCTAATGAATAGTGCAATTGAATTTCTTAACTGACACATATTAGTCTAGTTTGTACCATATCATCAATAATATATTTAATAGGTAATATTAAGGTCTAATTGCACTATTTTACTAATTTATGGGATATTATTAGAATTTTTTTCTGTTAAAAGATTCAATTACACTACTCATTGAATTTATGAGACTAATTTGATATATATTTTTTAAATTAATACTTGTATAACAAAATTATATTTTTCTTATAAATAATTAAATTGCAAATAATTTGAATCCGAGCAACGGAGGAATATATTGGCCATCTGAATTCTTGAAAGGTGGCATCTAAATTCTTGGAAGGTGCAACAAACTGGGGTTGAAAATGAATATATACCAATTAAATAAAGACTTGGAGTGAGGCTGTAAGTTACTCTTTTTTTTTTTTTTTTTTTTTTTTTTTTTTTTTTTTTTTTTTTTTTTTTTTTTTTTTTTGGCAATATAATATGATCTCCTAATCAGGATGGATCTGAGTTCCCTTATACTATACTTATAATGTCACTTTCTTGAGTGGGGCAGACCAGTGTATAAAATAAGTTTTTTTTTTCTTTTTTTTAATAAAAAATAAAAAATTGTTTAATGCTCTACGCCCATCTAACTTCATCAAACAATTTTGGACAATACCTAAGAAGGATGATTAGTCATTTTCACAAAAAAAGCTATACTTCAACTAACCTCAATTTCTTTGGTCAACAAACCATCCTCTTCTATTAAAAATAAAATAAAATAAAATAAAAGAAGAAAGATTATAGAACATGGAGAAAGAAACTAAGAGGGTATCTGGTACGATGAAAGTGGAAAATGCTTGTTTTGTAAAATTTTTGCTCTGGAAAATATTTTTTTTCATAAGAAATTGCTTTCTCTTATTTTAGTGGAATATATTACTTTCTTAAAAGAGAGATTCTAACTTTCCACTCATATGATAAAGTTTCAAAAGTTTTATTACAAGAACTCCCTCTACACCTAACGAAAAGCATAATAAAATTTTATATTATGTTGTATTAATAATATTATATTAATTATATATATACATATTCATATGCATTGTAGAAAAAAAAAAAAAAAACTTACTGTTTGATCATTGCAGGCATCATCTTTTTTAGTTTGTCTCAAAATGTTGTCATCTTTTCAAAATTGAACAACACCATTATTTTACTTTTTTCAATTTATTCTTATGAGTTTTGCATTCTTTATTGCTTTTACTTCCAAAAGTGAAAATGTGGGAGGCATAATTGAAAAACACATAGTTCCTGTTTGGTAAAATAGTTAGCTTATCAGTCAATTTTGGCTTATTTGACTATTATTAATTATTTGACTTGGTTAAAACATCAATATAAGTGTTTGATTAATTAACTTTTTGTAACACGAAAATGCTAAAATTCAAAAAGCTACTCAAAGTAACTTTTTCAATTAGTTTTTTGAGAAAAGAAATTATACCAAACAGTTATCAGCTAACAACTAATTGCCTAATTTACCAAACACCTTTCTACAATCAGTTAATGTTATAAGCTAGTTATACTCTCTAATTAAATCACTTACAACTAACAACTATGACCAGATACTATTACATAATAAGGGGTTCGATCTTGTGACATTCTCTCAAGGGAAGCCATAAAGGTGTCATATGACAGAAGGTGTTTGACTTAGATAATAATAAATAAGTAATATAACATGTGAATAAAGGTAATACTAAAAGGTAAGAAGAATATGGACACCTCAACTTCCATACCCTCTAGCTCCTCTAAGTCCTCTGCATCACTTTGCTTCCCTTCCCCTCTAAGCGCCCTAGCTTTGTGTACACTTAACTAACGCCACCAACCCCAGCCCAACCCCACCACCCACTTCTCTCCCTTCATCTCCAACAACCTAACCTTTTGTCCTACAACAAAAGAAAAACACTTTGTTGGAGGGAGGAAAGCTAAGGGAGAAAGAATACAATTAATAAGCTAGGATGGGTTCTGCTGGGAACCAAAATCCATGGGCACCATATGATAGCTATAAAGATTGTTCACTGGGGATTTGCAGCGTGTACTGTCCCCAATGGTGCTTCTACGTCCTCCCTCCACCACCCCCCGATGACGAAGACGATTCTGCTCCCACTTTCTCCCCTCTCATCATAGCCATCATTGGCATTCTGGCAAGCGCTTTCCTCCTCGTCACATATTACACTGTCATCACAAAATACTGCAGAAGAAGAGATAGTTCGGGGGCGGATTTGGAAGCCAACAGCGACCAAACGCCTCAGGATCAGTGGCAGGTCTTGGCCGCCCCTTCTGGTTTAGACGAAACCGTGATCAAGTCCATCACGGTTTGCAAGTACAGGAAAGGTGAAGGGCTCGTGGAAGGCACAGAATGTTCTGTGTGTCTCTCTGATTTTCAAGATGATGAGAGCCTGAGATTGTTGCCTAAATGCAGCCATGCCTTTCATCTCCCTTGCATCGACACATGGCTTAAATCCCACTCCAATTGTCCCCTTTGTCGAGCCAATGTAGCTAATCCTCCTCATCAATTCTCAGGAGACTCCTCCGAGCAGAATAACTCAGCTTTAACCCCACCACCCCCCAGTGCCGCAGAACAATCAGACTTGGTTTTGGTGGTTGTTGATGATCACCGCGAAGAGGGTAGTAGCGGCTGCAATGGGGAGAGTTCTGAGAGAGGTAGTAGTGAGAAATATGGAGATGATGAAGAAGAAAAAGGAGAGGGTGTTAAGGTGCAGTTGAGAAGATCATTATCTTTTGGTGGTGAGCAGAGGCAGCTAATTTTGAGGGGTTCCGATGAGAAGAATGCTGCTTTTGGGAGATCCATTTCTACAGGAAGATTAATGTTTTCAAGGTATGACGACAATGGCAAAAACCTCTTCTGAAATCTGAACTGTACATCACAGCTCATTGGAAAACTTTTTTTTTTTTCTTTTCTCTTTCCATTGTAAATTCTGAACATATACCAACACATGAAATTGATGATGAATTCTAATGTCTGGGTAATTGGGTCCTTTATCTTGACTTAATACCAAAATTTCTCTAATTTTTTACTCTTAGCTTTGATATGCACAAATAATAAATGTCAATCAATGCAAAATTTAATATTAAGTTTACAAGTATCAAGAGTTTATCTTGTGACAAAAGGTAAAAAATGGCTGGAATTGTCCACCCTAGGCCGCCCCGACAAGATTGTGGAGGGGTTAATGAGGTTAAACTTTTGTTCAGTACACAATGAGTCCCCTCATTACTAGAACTGCCCATGCAGGCAAATATCAATAGTTTATTCGTATTAAGGACAAACAGACGGATGATAAATTGGAAAATACATTTCATCTCAACTAAAAATAAAAATGGTAATTATAATGTATATTTATATTTTATATATTATATGCTTAACATTTACAATACTTTTTTTAGACTTGAGTGAAAAGACCTCAAACCTTTATGCATATAATTATATTAAAAATTGATGTCATTTTATCTCTAGTGTTGCAATTCACTCTTTTCAATCATGTGGGATCTACCCACAAATTATATTTTTATTGCAAAATATATGCATTAAATATAAATTTAACAAGCGGACAATTATTAATCCAAGGATAATAAAAAGCAAAATTGACTCATAAGGTAAACAATTATATTAAGGCAAGAAGGTTTCATCCTATGCTTCACCAAAAGTTCAAATACTATGAGTCTAGACATTGAGGCAACAACGAAATAAATCAAATAAATTATTGAAGAATTCAAGAACATATATAGAAAACTAGTCTTTATTCTCTAAAGAAATCTTGCGTCTAATATTTTCCTAGGTGTAAAGATGTCTTCCAAAGAGTGGTTGAAATCCTCAAAAGTGTCTTGGATCTCCTCATTGAAGTCAAGAGTTCAAAAGTGCCCCAAAAAGATTAAAATGTCGCTTAAATAGATCGAACTTTGTGATCATCGACATGCCCTCGACACGATTGTGTCAAAGGGCGTGCTAGTATCTTTTCATTTTCAACTTCCAAACATGTTAAGAGACAACGCCCCGCACGTGCGACTCAACCCTCACATGATCATGTCCCTAGTCATGATCATTTTTGCCATGATCTTTTCTATGTTTTAGTCTGAATCTCTTAAAAGTTTGAGTATGAAAGTTAAAGGGGATCGTCTTATCTTTCCATAGATACTTGAATCACTTTAATGTGAATTCGTATGAGAAATATATGGTCAAGATACTATCAACTTATCACAAAGGGCATGTTATGCATGCCATATTTGCTTAAAAATTTCTAAAAACCAAATATATATGAATGAATTAAGGGTCATATTCAATGAAATTAAATGAGATTCAAGCAAAATCATTTAAGATAGGATATTAGAAATAAGTGTAATTAAGAACTTATAAATAAGTCAACTACCTTGGAGTGTAATGGCATCTCGGATACTATTTCAATTGGATGGTCATAGTCGTGATACTTGTAAAGAATCTCGAGTATTTCACAAAAAAAAAAAAAAAAACTTATAAATAAGATACAAATATTTCATATTAATTTAAAGGTTTGGATATAATTCCCATGTATAACTAAATATAATTTTCTCAGCCAAGCACCTTGTGCTCAGATGACATGTAGTGACATCTCCTATGTGGGAGGTCATGAGATTATTTAAACAGATACTACAATATAATAGAGTCAATAGCATTCAAAAAAATATAATTTTCTCACCTTTAAAAAAAAAATTCTCAATTTTCTCAAGGCACAAAAAATGATATTAAATTCACAAAATTATAATTTTGACGATGGGTAAAAGTTGTGATTTTTTCCTACCAATAAGCCTACATTTTAAATACAATGTCTGTAATAAAAAATGAAAAAATAAATGTATTTTAGTCCTATCAATTAAGTTGAAAAAAGAAAGGAAAAATTGCATCCCAAAAAAAAAAAATCTCAATTTTATGTTTGTGATTATAATTTTTTTAGAAAAAAAATCTTACCATGTCAAATAATAAAAATATTGATTATTATGATTGTAATTTTTAAAGAAAAATCATACCAAGTCGAATAATAAAAATATTGATTATTATAAATAAAAATGACAATAGGATTTTTATTACCAAGTAAAACTATTACCGGAGTACTTTTTTTTAAATGTCGCCATCTATTTCTTATTTGTAGTATCAATTGTCACCATTTATTCGAAATTTTAAAATATTTTCTGATTTAATAAATGTATCTTTGTCATCTTATTTCCGAATTCAATTAATTAATCGGTACTAAAGAAGCTAATGGTTTGTCGGTTTGTGATGTCAGTACATTTAAAGAAGCTAATGGTTGGGAACATAGGAATAATAAAATGAATTTAATTAGGAGATTAAGTAAGATCAACTTAAAGAAATGGCTAAACACAGTAGTCGGTGACATTTCCACTACTCCACACTTAAATACTATTTCGTGTTAAATCATCATTATTCATTACCAAATTAAAGCTGTCTTGACTAGGAAAGTTAAAGAAGAGTTATTATTATTATTTTTTAATTTTTTTTTTATAACAAATTTGTCAAAATTAGGTTTATGGATTTGTCACTTTATAATCTAATTTTTTTTTTTTGTTTTGGATCGTTTATTTTATTTCTCTATTTTTTCATTTTTAATTTTTCATTTCTCCATTTCGATCTCCAGTTTTCGTAATAACAATAATAATAATAATAATAATAATAATAATAATAATAATAATAATAATAATAATAATAATAATAATAATAATAATTATAATAATTTCAATGCACCAATAAAAACCTTACACTAAATAAATTACAACCGATTACAAAACAAAATACGCAATAACAACATGTATAAAAATATAAAAGTGAAATTTTTAAATTAATAAGCGTACATTTTTATAAAAATAAATATCATTATTTGTTGAGGCATAAGAAAACTATATTCGAATTTTGTAATAAAGTGAAGAAATCATTTGCAATTTGCAATAAAAGTAATAATAATAATAATAATAATAATAATAATAATAATAATAATAACAATAACAATAACAATAACAATAACAATAATAAGAGTTAATTTCAATAATGGTCCTCCGACTATTTTGATTTTTCAAAATTGGTCCTTGTCTTTTAATTTGGACTAAATAGACCCTTGACTATCAGATTCATTCCAGCATTGGTCCTTCCGTTAACCATTAGTTTGTTAGGCGTTAAGTAGAGGGTTACAAGCGTAATTTCATCAATGTGCATTTCTTATCAGCAGTCGTGCGATACTTCCACCAGTTACCATACAAAAACGCCTAATTTCTTCACAAGAAACCCTCCAGCAGCAGCGGTCGGATCGGTATCAACAGCAGCGCGCGATTTGAATCGCCCCTTCGGCCACGCCTCCGTTTGCAACTCCACGAACTCTCTCTAAAGACCATCTAAAAATATAGTACTACAATGCATATAGGTCAGGACCCATAAACAACGATAGAAATTTGCATAACCACCTTTTTGTTTTTTAAATGATGGCTTGTAACTTTTAAGTAAAAGCAAATATCCTATCGGCAATCTTTGTTTGGCAAAGTGGACACTCAGCACAGGCAAAGGAATATGACTTGCAAACTGCAAATATTATTACATATTTACATGAATCAAAATGGCTTAACTATGAACACCACAAGAAAGAAAAGAAAAGAAAATAAATTAAAATCTAGAGACAACTTACAGCAAAAATGGCGGCAAGGAAGAATCATTGTTGCTGTAAGAGATTCAAAACACACTTTGCACACATGTGAATTTGCATCCCCATTACCCAAATGCCTGTGTTCCTTTTCCTTCATCTCTTGCATTTTGGCCTAAAGGGATTTACATTAATAAAATAAGAACATCATGATATATTATTATCCTTTTATATGTTAGAAACAAATGAACAAACTGTAAGCATATAATTGACGTAGGAACATGTCTTGACCAAAACGGTCAATAACCAGAAAAAGGAAATCTAAGAACTTCCTTCTTTTTCTTCAAGTATTATTCTTATATCAGGCTCCAAACCTCCTACATTGCACTCGGAGTAAAGTTTAAAAATACACATTCTTTCGGTCTATGGCATGACTGCTTAGGTCACCCTGGGCAAAATACTTTCAAATTCGACTTGACATACCCTTCCTAGGACAAACATTCTTTCTACAAAAGATTACACATGTGCTCCTTGTGCAAAGGGAAAACTTATTGTTCGGTCCTTACGTCCTAAGATTGATTTTGAGTCACATGTTTTCCTGCAAAGGTTACATATTTGTGGACCAATTCATCCTTTCTTTGGACCATTTCGATATTTCATAGTCCTTATTGATGCTTCCACCGGATGGACACATGTGTGCCTGCTATTCACTCGAAATATGGCATTCGTAAACTTCATAAGCCGAATCATTATTGTGAATGCTCATTTCCCCGATTATCCTATTAAGAACGTAAGAATGGATAATGCTGGTGAATTCACCTCGTCAGCTTTTGACGATTATTGTATGGCCATGGGAATATAGGTGGAACATCATGTACCATACATTCACAGCCAGAATGGTTTAGCTAAATCCCTTATCAAAAGAATTAAGCTAATACCTAGACCATTACTGCAACGGTCCAGTCTACTAGCACTTGTTGGGGACACACAGTGTTACATGCTGCTGATCTAATACAACTCCGGCCAACTGCATATCACGATTATTCCCATCTACAACTTGTACGTGGTAATGAACCAGACATTTCTCATTTTCGTGTCTTTGGCTGTGCGGTTTACGTATCTAAACCACCTCCACATCGTACTTCGATGGGCCCACTGCGTTGGTTAGGTATTTACGTTGGATATGAATCCCCATCTATCATTAAATATCTCAAACCGATGACAACAGATCAATTGACTGCATGGTTTGCTCACTGCATTTTTTATGAAGATCATTTCCTGGCATTATGGGGAGAGAAAATCCTAGCTTTGAAAAAATGCCATGAAATTTCAAGGGATGAAAAAGATCTTCAATATCTTGACCCACGTACTAATCAAAATAAACTTGAAGTTCAAAAAATAATAAATTT